AACAATACTCTTCATGTTCCCACATAAAGAATGTAATGTTTCTCAAGAAGCAAACATATATTGTTCATGGGCCATCTTATCACTGTTTCATATGTCTGGAACTAGCGTTCTGGAACAGTACCCAGTATCATTGTCATGACAATCTAATGATCGTTCACTGACAATACTAGTGTTGTTTCTGACTTCAAAAACAGCGTTTTGGACATCGTTTCCTCTTTTCCCTAAACGTTTCGTCCAAAAACACTATTATTTATTGTTTTCCTTGTTTTTGCCTCTGCAGTGCGTGATACACGTTGTCCGACGTGTGGGAAGATTGAACACACGACCGAGACGTGCTGGTCCCGCTTTGCAAGAAAGAATGTGGCCCATGCGCGCCCTCATGGTAACGCTGGCGCAGAAAGCACTTATCGCGCCAAGCCTGGCAGCTCTGGCAACAACGCCGGTGGCGAGGCCAGCAGAGACTCAAAGGAAGTCACGGTCATAACTGAGACCACCAAGGGACCATTGGTGGCAGCTACGAAACGCAACGCCGAGGGAGAGGCCTTGCCGAAGCAGTCAAAGAACTTTGAAGAAGTTTCGATTCCAAGGCTGCTGAATCCCACTCCAGTAGCACCCAGTGTAGCACGCGCCTGGAACGAGCCGCTGAGAATGCCGAGAGTGAAGCTTGCACGCCAGAAGAAGAAGAATATTTCAAAGAAGGCGGCCCTTCAGGAGCACGTCAGCATGTACAACATCGTGTCGGAGCTGGCCAATGCACCGTCTGGTCTAACCTTTGGACAACTTGTCCGTGGAGACGCCGAAGGAGCAAGGAAGGAGATGAAGCGCCTTCTATCGAGAGTGTTGGGGCGTTCTCACGGCTTTGCGGGCTACACGGATGTCTTCCAGAGACGTCTTCGTGTGGCTATTGTTTAAGTTTATGGAACCGATGCTCAAGCATTATTGGATTCGGGTGCGGTGCCGAACATCATGTCGCCACACCTCATGAAGAGGCTTTCTCTGACGCTAGAGAGCACGAAGAAACTCAAAACTGTGGCAGAGGGGAAGAGTTCCCCGTGTGTTATATCATTGCGCCAAATACCAATCTCGTTTGGGGGACTGGTGAGCATGATGGACGTCCTTGCTGTTACGAGAACGCCGTACGACGTGATCGTTGGGATGCCGTCGTTAGAGGAGCTCCAAACGTGCATTAATCTGGGCCAACAGCATGTTCAAGTAACTGTGGGTGCTGAGACGATTCGACTAAGCCTGGAGATGGATGAAGATCGCAAAAGTCCAGGGTCCGGTACCGAAAGTGTTCCTTCGCACAATCACAAACCAAGCTGTTGGGGCTCGTCATCGGAGAAGAAAGGATTGTGGTGGATCCTGAGAAGACATCGACCATTTTGAACACCCCCGAACCGTATACAAAGACGGAGTTACGAAGCTTCCTTGGGCTAGCGGGGTACTACCGCCGATTTATTCCCGAGTTCGCAGAAGTGTCTGCGTCGTTGCACGCTGTTACCTCTAGCAAGGTCGAATTTGCAGTTTCGGAAGAGATGCGAGCCGCTTTCTAGGAGTTGAGGCAGAGAGTGACGTCTCCTCCGCTGTTGGCGCTCCCGAAGTTTGACGAGCCCTTCGAGGCAGATGCATCCAACGTTGCAGTGGGAGCAGTTCTGGCTCAGAAGAAGGAAGATAAAAAGTTCCACCAGATACAGTACGCCAGTAGGACGATGACGGAGACTGAAAAGAAGTACTGTACCCGTGAGAAAGAAGCGTTAGCGATGATCTTCGCGCTAAAGAAGTTTCGTGTGTATTTGCTGTCAACGCAAAAGCTCAAGTTGATTACGGATCACCAGGCCCTTCAACATGCGTTCAAAAAGAAAGACATCTACGGTAGACTCGCTCGTTGGTTTGATTTCCTGGCGGAGTACGAATTCGAGATATTGTACCGCTCTGGCTCAAAGCATTGTGCTGCTGAATTTCTCTCGCGTCTTCAAGACGACAAGGAGAGGCGCGAAGAGGATGAGGGAGACCTGGTATACGCCGCCGCAACTTTTACGACAGGAGATATGCTGAAAGATATGGAACCTCACGTTCAGGACACATACAGTTACTTTGATGGCGAAGAGATGGTTGAACAAGATTTCGCGCAGAGGCTCAGGATCAAGAAGAACTCCAGGCGGTTCCTTGCCTGGAACGAAAGGCTCTTTCGCAGGACGAAGAATGGGATCAGGACAATCCCTTCTCGGGAGACTGGCCTGCATATACTGCGTTCGCTGCCTGCCGACACTGGCCACTGGGATGCTACAGCCACGAAGCAGCTCGTCTTTGACAGATACTGGTGGCCGGGAGTTCATGGCGATATCTACGCCTATGTCCAGGGATGTGAAGGCTTCCAAACGGTTGCGCCCATCCCGACGTACAAGAGCACGGATGTAATACCAGCTTTTCAGATCTTTGAGACGTTCTAAATACTTTGCCGGGCCTATCCCAAGACGAAGAACGGAAAACGTTAAATCCTGATAGCGGTCGACCATCTGACGGGTTGGACCCTGGCTTAGGCTACCGAGACCGCTACGTCGGCGGAAGTTTTCAAGTTCGTGGAGGAGATCATCCATTCGTTTGGTCCCTCTCGGACTGTAGTCTCAGGTAACGCAACATGTTTCAACGCGACAGCGTTGAAGAACTTCATGGCACAACAGGGAATTTCGCGAAAACCGGTCCTCGCCCATGCTTCCATGTCCAAAGGAAAAGCCGAGCGTTTGGTCGGGACTATAAAGCGTTCAATTCGGAAGACGCTCTTAGGTCAGGGCGCCGCTAGCTACAAATGGGAATCCGCGCTGGAGTAGATTCTCTACGGGTACCGGCGACGTCGACTGTCGGACGGGTTCTCCCCGTTCGAGTTATGAATGGAGTGAAGCCGCCCTCGCAACCCCAGACAGATCCGAACCAAATACGGTGGGAGGGGGGGCGTTGAGGGGCACAACTTGGGACTGTTAGCGATCCTCGCGCTCCGAGTGACGAGGACTTCTAAGCGGTTGGGCAGAAAGAGCAAGAAGATGGCGGTTATCTCACAACGCCAATTCGACGTAGGCGATCAGGTTCTGGTCGCCCGAGGAACAGCATTGAGAGGGCTACAGAAGTGGTCCCTAGGAGAGTCGAAGGGGGTGGGAAGAGAGTGAATCTGCTAATGAGAAAGAAGCGGACTATGCAACTGATATCACGAAAATGATTGAAAGTTTTACAATTCGAAAACAAAGGCAAGAATGTTTCTGCGTGTGATAGGAGGGATGAGATAGTAAGACGGCTACAAGAGTCGAACGAGCAAAACAATAATGTCGCGAAGTGTTCTGAATGTGCTCCCAAACTCTTCCTTCATTATCCAACTTATTTAGAGAAAGAAAGTTAGGGGCGCAATGAATGTGACAGGAAGAAGAGAAGTGGTGCACTGAAGTGAACTGTGAGTTGCAATTCAACTTACGTGCTCGCCAACATCGGTAAAAGTCAGCACTCGACACGGTTCCATGGCTTGAGAATTTGGTGGAAGAGCCTGACAGACGAACAGTGGACGATAAAATGCGTGCTCATCTTAGTAGCACATTGCGTGCGGCTATCTGTTCACATATTGTCTGCATTGCTGGCCCACGTTTTGAGCCCCCTTGACAAAGGTGCTATCGCGTGAAGTGGATCCATGAAGGAGTTGGATCCACTACGGACGGATTTATTAACAGCGCATCACTGCAGTAAGAAGCGGAGTTGATGGGGATACTCTTGCTGCGAGTGCAACAGATGCAGAGTTCCACAGCGGTATTCTGAAGTGAAGTCGGGAATACAGTCTTTGTGACTCACGCTCGTACCTTCGGGCAGACCGAGGTTCCGCTCAGAGCGCTCCTTTTATATAACTACTATGTCCGGGGGGTTTGTGAAGTCCAGCCCCTAACTGGCTTAAGTAGATCAAACTAGAACTGTCTACATCTGTTCTAGATCCTTCTACAATATTCTGGTACTGGAGTTTCTTTGGTTTACGAAAGCTTGGCATTTCTCCGCAGAGCAGTCGATCTTCGCTCTAGAACATTTCAGAGAATACTAGATCATTCTTCTCATGTCTCGCAGGGAAGAGTAACATAGGTGCCATAAACTAACAGGGAAAAGTATTGTATGGTGAATCGCTGGACTGCTTTCTACATGAAGAGTAATTCTACATTTAGCGACACGTAAGTCAAGAGAGTTTCAGCATGATCGGACCCATACAGTTGATGGCCCGTATCTAACATGATACAGCACCGATTTCCTCACTAAAGGTTTTCCAGTAGGGGTGAAATGTAGACGGTGAAGATCGTATCAATCTTTAATTACCACTGTAGGAAGCCTGTACTTATATTAAAGCATAGGAACTAAAATGATGATGAGACTATTGTGCTCTCCCAGATTCAGTTTGAGTCAAACGGACTAAACCATCATTGATCTCGGTCAATCCTGGTGCGCAATTATCTCCTATCAAATCTCATGTTGTCCGAAGCCTCTAACAAGCAGAATTGAGCTGCATGAAGTCATACAATCTGGAATGCATTGTGCACGCGTCTACACACGAAATGCAGTATATATTGCATACAGTTTCCGTAAGCATCCCTTAACAGAAGAAACACAGCAACATCACTAACCTGCCCAGCTCTGACCGTCGTCTGACACTTGATGCGTAATGCTAAGAGGGGCAACCATTTTGTGCACGGAGATAGTTGTGTCATGTGAAGCAGCATCCGACACGTAGGTAAGAAAATGAAGAGATACCATAGCAACCTACAGTACGAAAATGGACTGTGCACTTTGCACTGTTAAGATACAACATTCTCCGTATTGATTTATGACCGCATGGTGAACTTATTTGTAACACGTACATTAGCATCGGCGTTCTCGTGGATCTCAGTATTTAATGAAGAGTTACCATAAAAGGCATCGATAGTCCTCACACAGGCAGCAATCGCCGTATTCTGATAGCCTTAGTTGCATGGGTGAAATTTTGGTATGGAAACAAAACGTTTTTGTCTGAATAGGAATTGGTTCTGGTTCCCATCGCCTTTATTTGAAACTAAAACGGGGTACATCGCGATGCCCACACCCACTGCCACCTAAACATACCCTTCGGGGGTAATATTACGAGCAACTACTCTTCATGAAAGGGACTGAAATTGTTCTGCGATGTATTGGCATTGAGGCTGAAACAGCTATCGTCGACTTCTAGACCAGCAAAGAATTTGATAATCCCATTGTGACCCCTTGAGTCCATTCTAACAACTGCATTCCAGGTGGTGCGGGTAGCTCAGCGAGCAGTCCTAATGGTGACGATTGCAGCACCACCATCCCTTGTACGGATAACGATGCAACTTGCAACGAGAGACACGGCAATAACTGCCATAGGAATACTTGTGGCATTGCTTTTTAGCAGCGCGCCTGCGTTTGACGCAACGGCACGGACATTTCTTATAAGATCGTTCTGCAACATCCACGTCCTCCGCGACATCTTGTTGAATGGAGATGTCTTCCTCGACGCGCTTGTCGTTCACAGCAAAGGCGACTGTGACCAAGACCAGGAGGGCCAAGAGAAAACATGTGCTGCGATGAAACATGGTAGAGAGGTAGACCTGCTTTTCGGATGATTTGATGCTTTTTGGTTTGGATTGGAGAAAGGCGTTGTGGGGCGGGGGGTGTTGAAGGACAAAGTAACTGGTTCAGGCATGTCTTATATAGACGCAGAGCTGTCCATGATGTTCAGGGATGAGACGGTTCCAGCTCGTTTGGTTTGTTGAGAAGAAGACTAGGCTGACACAGGCATAGGGTAATATGGCAAAGCTGTAGACAACTTGTCAGTGTTCACCAAACGCGGTGGCATTTGAGCAGGGGCTGTTTGTGATAAGAAAAGAATAGTTCTTTGATAGATTCTATCTGCGAGGCGTGTTTGAATGGTAGATATTATTTCATCTCCCTCAACTGTCTTACTATTTACCACAAGCGGAAGAGGCTTTGACTTTCTGGATGAGATGCAAAGGTTTGCTAGAATTGAAAGATGTAGGTTCCAATCAAACCGGGTGTTTTTCTCGCCGGGATTATGATGGAAAGAGGCCCCAACCCCAAAAAGTTTTGGCGGTTGAGAGATTTATATGTTTTCTCCGTAGTTAATCTGCATTGTCATTACTTTGTAAAACGTGGATCCGCGACTACCGTTTCCGACTCTCGTATTAGGTTGAAGGCGAAAGCAACTAATGCTCACGATTAAAGTGTAGTGGTTTCCCGAAACAGTGGTGGTATTGCTGAACAGGATTAAAACACATTACAGGAACATACTGAGGAATGAGGTAGAGAGCTGCAGTTGTGAGCTGAAAGTGGGTGGTGTTGCTTTCAAGAGATGGCCAATCATTGTCATATCTGATATCGGTTGGCCAGGACCTCATCCAAAATGCCACCGAGTGATGTGCAGATGCTACCCTAATTAAAAGAAAATAAAAGTGTATAACAGATACAGTCTCTATACAAGGCATACACAGTCGAGATTCTCGATCTGTGTGATCTGACCATGATCAGAAAACGAATTGCGTCCGCACAGATAGTTCCAGCATGTCTCGATGGTCGATATACAGACGGGGATGGAGACACGCCCTTCTCCACAGACCAGGACAGATCCCAAAGCACGACAAAGGATCGAAGTACTCTATGCCCTCGAATAAAAGGAAAAATGGTTTTGGCCACAAATATTATTGGCCAACGATGCAACTGTGGAAAATGGAAGGAGAGCATTGATTACGATACGATTAGATCCGAACCGATCGGTTTGCCTCGTAGACTTTTGTAGTGATACATTGGTTTCTCTTTAATGAAGAAATTGCTCCTTGAAACTATAAGACTACGTCTGCTGAAATAATCATAAAGCATACGAAATTAATATCTAATTCATCAAGCGAATGGAATTGGGAATAGGGTTCAGAAGATGCGACCAAGATGCAAAATAGTGAAAGCAGAGTCATTTTAACCGCGAAAAACAGAGTCCACTTTCCGAAAGTATAATATTAACCTATTTCTCCCAACCTGTAAGACATGCGGAAATTAAGGAAAGTCATGTCCTCTTCTCGGGACTGTCAGGTCGTTTCTCGTTAAGATGCGACGCAAAGAAAAACGTACTCTTGTGGATACAGTGAATACAACAATGCTTCTCATCGTTTGAGAACCAACGGAACTTCCTCAACGCATAACAGGCGCTCACCCTCACACCTATTGCCTACTCAAGCAAGGGCGAGCACGGTGATATGTAGGTGTCGGGGATATAGTGAATTGCCCTCTCACAGCCTCGACGCCAGCCCCGATTCGTACCATGGCGCACGGCTAATTCGAACAATGTCATGATGAGCGCCAAGGAACGGCATCAATACAACTGCTCTCGATAGACTAAATGCAATAATCAGGCAAAGACAAGGCGAAGGTTAAAGAGCGAGAAATAACACTAGCCAGAAACTGATTGCCTTGCACGCTGACCCTATTCCTGAATTTTCCATTAGAGATACCCCTGTCCAACCGCCAGGTTGCGTGTGAACCAAAAGCGCCTCCCGCAGATGTGTTGAGATATGAAAATCTCCCGGATACCTGCAACGAGAAACCATTGAGCAGCAAGAGAATACGCTACCAAAATCTGAAACCATTCATATCAACGACGTTTTCTCTGTCGACATTGGTGTCGTTGTCCTGTGCCGAAAAGAAGATAGCCTCCTTTGCCATAGCTCGACCCGTGACGCTTTCAAAGGGCCTTCATTTCAAACCCCTTCGCCGCATACAAAAAGGGCGTGTCCTTAGTAAGGGCAACTGTCTCGGGTGTGTATGGGGTGAGCGCGAGGGAGGGAATAACCCAATGACAAAAGCTGTTTCATGTATGGGGTGAAGGCGAGCAAAGGGCAGGGATCAAAGCGGAGCGCTCGTCCTAATTTCGGACACGAAGATATCCTAACAACTTGTGAAAACTCGTTTTCTGCGGTTCATGAGATGCATACACGATCAAAACGATGCAAGGATGCGTTTCCTTCTTTCAGTGGGCGTTAGAGCTGAAATGCGTTGAAGGCAGCTCAACTGCATAATCGCACATGCGCCATGTAGAAACAAGGTATCGCGCCTCGTCACACGACAGCACGGCACGATCTGCGGCGAGTGGTATTAGCAGTATAGACGGCGGTTGAGAAAAATAGGTTTTTGTTGGAATCGCGTGATGCACTGGCAGGCATGGCGGAGGGTGGTTTGCAGATTGGGTAACAAGAAGGGGTTGGTGCGACAGGGAGGCAGTTTTGGATGCAGAGCACTCCAAGGTCAGAGGCGCAATGGTGCACAAAGTAACAGGAGGGGAACATGGGGGGAGGAAGTGAGGATTTATGAAGAAGCAGGGGGCATGGAGGAGGGGTTGACGGCGCGCGACAGACACGAGAGAGGCCATCTATCTAGGTTGATTTGAGCGGAGATGGAAACGGAAGGAAAGCCTTGTTGTCGGTGGGCGTCAAAAAGACTGGGTGTCGATGCCGTAAAGCTTTATAGAGGCAGGCATGCACGAGATATGTGGACAAACGTGTTCACAGTGATTGCATTGTACTGTAGCATGTAGACGTACTCCCTTGCCACACCAGTAATAGTCCAAATGGACTTACCCTTGGTAGCATTTAGGACACCGAGGCGTCTCTAAATAAATTGTTTCATTTCGATACCGACTGGGTATTTCGGGCCTGGGACATGCCCAGTCAGGCGTGTCCTCTGGCAACAGTGTGGAGTCAGGGATGTACAGTACCAAGGGCACCGTTGGTACAGTACTACCTCTGGCAACAGGGCTTTGATGCTTTGAATGCGGGCAGGGCGGGGTGGTGAGAGTGGGTAGAGGCTTGCCACGTGGACATGAAGGCGGTGTCCGATGTCATACTGCTACAGTATAAACGCTAAAGTACAGCATAGCGTTTGGCGACGAAGGTGAGATTGTCGCAGGCAGGGCCCTGATGAGATGTGGCACAGATGCGCAGAACACCAGAAGATGATTGGTCTCCAACACATACGGATGTGAGAGGAATATGATAGTTTTTAGGAAAAGAAGAACATAGCTACTAGAGGAAATGGGTTGGTGGTTCACGAAAGAGATTCGTGCTATCCCAAAAAGGGAAACAACCTTGGCTGCATATGCAGCTGTGGTGAAAATGCCGCTGTGCAACTGTGTAACTGTGTAACTGCCCTTCATGAGTAGCAGGTTGTCGCACTGCCAAAACCCCTCACTCTTTCTTTCCACCTCTCCTCTCACACAGCACAGTGCAGCTACAACATTGGAACCCATTTACAGTACTGTAACGTTCACAGTTCAGTAAAGCGCAATCACTTACTGCGCCAGGTCGCCGTACACACTTTTTCCACTGTACAGGGGGGGGGGGGGGGGGGGGGAATGGAGGTCGCGATATAGTGCCACCCTATGTCAGTGGGCCGAAAACAGCACTATATCGAACAAGGCACTGTAAGATAATGAGATTTACGGCTTTTTGCAGCCACTTCCTTGCATCACTGTTCAGAAAGACCGCTCGCAGGACGCCATCACTCATAATGTATGTACAGTACTTAGCATCTTCACTACAGACTCAAGTCTAATCAAGCATTTCTATTATTAGTAACTGCCGACCCGTCGCATTGACTTCCTCCTTTTTCGCAGCCATAAATGCCAGCCTACACTTTTGCAGATGTCCAATTGCATCATCCACCCTGCCTTTTTCCATCATAGTCTCTATTCGAGTTAGCAACTGCATAATATCTTTCCGCGGCGGCAGCGACTCTCGGGCGGTACGTCCATCCAACGGCCTCTCTGGAGACCCTTCGTTTTTGGCTCAAAATTCGTGCCACCCGCAGAAGGGTAGCACTATATCGGATCTGGCACTAACAAAGATGGCACTATATCGCGACCCCCCTGTACACAAAAATGACGAGTCCACGTACGACACGTACAGTAGTTGAGGAGACGGGAGGACGGAAATCTAGGCCCAGCACCATACCCCCAGCACCATACCCCCAGCACCCTACCCCCAGTACCCTACCCTTCGAGTGGTACTCCTTTGACTCCGGCAAAAGTCAGTTCATAGAGCCGCAAACCTTACCACAACCCATCTCGAGAAGCGCATGTATGCGACGAGGATCAACCTGCCTGCGCCAACCTTGCCATATAGCGACGAGGAGGGTGCGCTCTTGCAATTCCCATCGGCTTCACACACCGAATTTCCCCACAAGAGCTCTATGACTGATTAATCCTCCGTAAGTGCTCCATGACAAACGCCGAGGTAGCGCCAAAGGGAGCTAAAAGAGCGCCTGCTCTAGTTGGTCGACAGCGTCAGGACTCAGTGTGGGCTGTCTCCTAAACGTGCGTCACCAGGGGGCCCAACCGTCGGATTAGAGGGCCAGGTGCCGTAAAGGGCACGTGTGCAGATGCTAGGGGTCGTATGAGGCGTACTACACATCGTAAGAGGGGAGGGAAGTTTCGTATACCAGCGAGGTAGGCAACGGCTGTGAAGGTGGCCAGGGCTGTTGGATACATCCTGGAGCGCGGGAAGAATGGCTGAGCATGTCCAAGCGCAATAGGATGCACCCGCTAATAGTCCACCCTCTATCGCTAACATGCCCTCTATTCCCCTCTCTTTCCCCCTAACATTATTGTTCTCCACCCCAGGCCCGCACAGACCATCCCCTCCAAACCGGACGCGGGCCAATCGAAAGTGACCTGAATATCCCTGATACGTGCCTCTCCCAAAAACGATGACGTAGGTGCTGGGGAAGCCTCATAGCTATGGGCACGTAGGAGTGGGAAAGTCCGCTCCCGTGCCCTTGGCAGATGTTCACGCCTACAGAGGCAACGACAGCATCAAACGGGCGAGAAGCGACCGGCCATCCACTTTCAGCTGGTAGGACAGGGGGCGGTTGCTGGTAAGGAGAACACGGCATCCTATTACAAGAGCCGGCACGCGCGGCTTTCTGAAGAGAACGTGGGACATGAAATGACTTGTGATGGTCGAGGTGAAAAGGCGGGGTTCGTGGGAGGGTGTACGCAAAAGTGAAGGCGGTGGAATCAGAGGCGTTGGTTCGGAGAGACACGCCGGGAGGGTACAAAGCAGACGAGGCATAGCTGCGATAGAACATTGAGATAGAGAATATCGCAGACCGGCTCCGTTTCCGCACACATTCACCTCCCCGTCTCGTTGCAATTCTCCTTCCTCAGCCGTTTACGCCGCCCCCTCTCGCAAGAGACCCTTCTTTTCGTCTGAGACCTTTATAATCGCCCTCAACCACCGCCAGGCTCCGCTGGGTTCCTTCATCAACCACGATAGGCAACCACGTTAGGCAGCCAGCTGTGCGCACGGTGCGTCTGGGGCAGCCTATTGCGCTCATCCCGCACCTGTACCCCGCCTACTTTGAACGAGGCTGCCCTCCCGCCCTAGTTCCCACCCTCGCCATTCGGGGTACAGTATTGCAGTCCCCCCCTAAGGCTGCACCCGACAGCCTGTGTTCATACAATCCAACTTTCACGCAGAAACCACCCTCCGACCCCCGCCAGCAGTTTGAGCCTACATTTTTGTCCATAGCACCTATCCTTGTAAAGAGGCACATCCCCCATGCGAACATTTCTCCTCTTCCCGCATCCTCACGCATCAGCTTGTCATCACTGTCTTATCGTTCTTCCACAAACTATCTAATATGCCGTACACAGTCTGAGTTGAAAAGGTCTCCACCTCCGCCAACACCCTACATCATATATAGCAGGACCCTCTCCAACCCCGGTCGGCGCTTCCAAATATGTCTTTATCCCTGGCGCGCTCTAAAAGTTCTTTCCCACATGCCCGCTTCGAAGGGGCAATCCAAGCACAAGCGCAAGGGGATCATTCGTTTTTTATCTGATAGAACCGCATGGACCTGCGCTCGGTGCCAACCAGTACAAAGTGCCCGCCATGGCTGATCTGGCGGAGGCGTAAGTTGGCCCAAAACCTGAATCTGTGTATTGCGTTGAGAGCTTCCTATTCGGTTCTCATCACTTTAGATTTTTTTAAATGTTTTCGTGACCGTAAAGTCACGAAAACGCGTGTTTTGGCGGCGTGTTCGCTCATATTTTGTAAAGGAAAAATTTTCAGACAACGCGTTTGGCAAAATTCACATCATACCGGAAACTGGGGGCATGTGAGTTTTCCACAAGTTTCACATCCGCCTGATCACAGCAGTGCCGGATCGATCCGTCTTGAAGGAAAAACAAAGAGGGTCTTCCGTTCTTTTCATCCGCACAAACGAGTCCCAGACTGCACGGGTCGTATCGATATGCGTCATGGACGCCCCTATCGCTTGTGGCAACTGGCGGAGAGAAGGAGCGGACAGGAGGTTGAAGAGGGCCGTACCAAGGGAAAAATGCAAGAGGTGGCCGGCAACGCGCCTCGGAGGTTGAAGATCCTTGAGGGCTGCCTTTACTCGCGCGTCGTCGCGCTTATATGCTAACTTGTACGGTAGCTGCGCCGGCGAAGTCGTTCCGATTCGCCGATATGCCCGAACCAGTACAGGAAAGGGCTCGGGCCACGGAGCCGATTTTGGCCTGAAGCGCGGGTCTCCTTTGCGCTTTCGCCGACCCTTTCGTTTCAAACGAAGAGACATTCCCGCTCGTTCGCTCGTTCGCTCGCTCTTTCTGTTGGCCTTCGAGGTGAGTCAAGCTGCCGATCGAACAGAAAACCCGGAGGCTTTCGTCGCTGCTCGAGATGGTCCGTGCTCGCGCGTAAAGTGGCTACACGCTTCATCTGCGCAGAGTGCGTCAATGGACCAAAGCGCGACAGGATCTGCCACAGATGCCGCCGAAGCAACCGCGAAAGATAGACAAGTAGAATCTTCTAAAAAGCGGTCCTCTCCAAACGGCTCCCCCTCAGGCTGTCAAGAAGACGAAACACATCGCCCTTTCGACTGAGAACCTTTCTATCTTTGTGTCGAGCTACAATATTCGCAGCAGGGAGTATTCGGGCAGGTGCACGTGATCCGTCGGGCGGCACAACGATGTACAGTACAGTTGTGAAATGTCCCGGTCCCGTCATAGATATGTATGAGGGTGTGCGGAATAGGACACGGTCGATAGGGTTCTGTTACTACGAACAAAGTGGGAGAGCACAAGTGCCCGGGAACTGTCGCTAGTTTCCTAGAAGAAAGTCTTTTTTTTCTTTGCCTGCTAATTGCTTATCCCCCCGTTCTCCCTTGCCTCGTAGTCATCTATCCGCTATTTATGGGGTCTCTGCCTCGAGATTACCGCGGCCCTGCTATGGTCGCGAGCTCTTCTTTGCACTTGAGCATTTACAATTAAATACCTGCCTGGTACATTGCCCGTCTATATCTGCATTCTTTCATAATGCGATCACACCGATAAATGCAATTTCCTCGAACGCCCATTCGATATATGATTCATAAATGGACTTATTCACAACAGTACAGTTGTGTACTGTTGTGTTGCGGGCAGGTACCCTTACAGTATAGTATACATATATATCGCAGGTATGTCGAACAAGTTACAGCGACTAATAATAATAAGGGCGCCTTGATAAATATCTAATCATAAATAACTAATCACAACAGAAAAAGTCAATTTCACCCGTCTGTTGCCACAAAAATGCACCTGATCGCCCCCCTAAACGCAAAATCTCCCATAATATGTAAAAAAAATAGTGCGACTTGTCTTGAACATCCTCAAAACCACTCCACTCCAATCCAAATCAAAACACTCAACCACCACTCACACGGTTGTCAGTCCAAGGGCAAATCCTTCTCGAAGAATCTCGACAAAAACTCCGAGCCCTGGATCGTGAGATGGTTCGCGTCACGGCCGTATCCCAGATTTAACTTGCCCTCTGTCGTGTTCCGATCGCCCAGCAGCCGACAAATCGGCTCACCATCTTCTCCGTCCTTGCAAACCGGCGCATACATGTCCAAAAACGGCGTGTCTGGCATCTCCGCTGCGAGCAAAGTCTTATAATCTTTCCAGTCCTGCAATGACCTAGAGCTAGGCTTCATCCAATCGCTCAGGCATGCCGACTGCTTCCTGGACCGCAACAACCTCCCTAACTGCACGAGTGGCGACTTTTCCAAATCCATGCATGCAAACCGCCAGTGCTCATCCATGTGCATCCCGGACGGCTCGCCCGCCGCCATATACCGATGGCCCAACGCTTTCAAATCCTCAGCCAAGAAGACCAGCCTCCTCCGCCTCGCCTCCATGTCCGCAAACTCGCCAAAGCTCGCGACGATAATGGTCGAGTTTGGCGGGATCGGCTCCGAGTCCGCGACCTTCTCTCCCCTCAGCATCTTCCACCTCCTCACGTGCAGCTCATGGCAAAACGCGTCCTTGGTACCAATGACCGCATCGTCGCGCATGGAAACGAGCGGGCAGCTCGTCTTGAAGTTGAACATAAAGCTGACTCCCCGATCTCTCCCGATGCGGTTGAACGCCGGGATCAAATGTCTCGCATACGAATCCCCCATGATGACCGCGTTGGGAGTCTTCTTCGAGGTATCCCCAACGAGGCAGCAGTCGGAGTAATTGTTCAAAAAGTCGCGCCTCTTCACGTATGACGGGTCGACGCACATGTCGCGGAACGTGACGACGACGGCGCGCCTTACGTCCATCTTGTCCTCCTCGCTAAGTCGAAAGTCCCACCCATTCGTGGCAAGCCCCAGCGCACAAAACGCGACGGTGACGATGAGGCCGATCGCTAGCGGGACGCAGTGGCGCACGCGGTTTTTTCGCAGCGGGTCCTCGACCAGCGTGCGCAGGAGCCACGCCGACACGAAGGTGGCGGCGAGCAGGGTCGGGACCGACAGCATCGGGACACGCAGCCCGCTGCTAAAGTATCTGGCGAAGACATATATGCCCCAGTGCGTGAGGTAGGCCGAGTAGGTGAGGTTGCCCAGAAAGCGGACGGGGCGGTTGGCGAGTGCGTAGCGGGCGACGAGCGAGCGCGGCGTGGCGATGAGCGCGACGGTGGCGGCCAGGACGGGGAGGGCGTGGGTCGGGGAGTTGTTCTCCGGGACGAGGACGAAGGCGGCGAGCACGGCGAGCAAGGAGGCGAGCGCGAGGACGTTGTCGGCGACCGAGCGCAGCACGGACGGGGCGGCGGGCGGGGTCCAGTGCGGCTCGAGGACGGCGAAGAGGGCGCCGACGGCAAACTCGTAGGCGCGGAACGGGAGGAGGAAGAAGGTGAGCGAGGCGTGGCGCGGGTGGAGCAGGACGGCGGGGGCGAACGAGGCCGCGGCGACGAGCAGCAGCAGCGGGGCGCGGAGCGCGGGGCGCGCGGGCGTGGTGGAGACGAGCAGCGTGAGCAGGAAGGGCCAGAAGAAGTAGAACTGCTCCTCGAGGGAGAGGGACCAGGTGTGCAGCAAGGGCTTGAGGGCGGCGTCTTCGTCAAAGTAGCCCGACTCTGCGAAGAAGTGGAGGTTGCTCACCAGCAGCAGGGAGGCGGCGGCGCTGTTGAGGGCGGAGCGGGCGAGGTCGGGCGGGAAGGCCAGGAAGGCGGCGACGAGGGTGGCGGCGACGGTGGCGAGCGAGGCCGGGTAGAGGCGGTAGAAGCGGCGGACGTAGAAGGAGCGCAGCGAGAAGGCGGGGAGGGCGTGGAGGATGTTGCGCGAGATGAGGAAGCCGGAGAGGGCGAGGAAGACGTCGACGCCGATGAAGCCGCCCGTGGAGTGCGCGACGTCGAAGTGGAACAGCAGCACGCCCAGCAGGGCCACGAAGCGCAGGCCGTCGAGGTGCGGCAGGTACGGCGGCGGGGCGGCGGAGGAGACCATTGCGGGGAGGGGGCACTGGCGATGCGGGAAGGACGAGAGGGTGCGGGAGAGGGCGGAGGGGGGGGGGGGGGGGGGGGGGGGGGCTGGTGCGGTATGATAGGGCACGGAACGGGTCTCGTTACGGTGGTCAGCGGGCTCCTACCGTAAAGTCTGCGGGGGGAGTGGCTGGCTGTTGGTGTGTGTTTCCTTTTCGGAGGCGGTTGCTCCGCGCGGGGTGTGTCAGGAGCCGCGCAAGCGCTTCCGCGGGCGGCGGTGAGCGACGCGAGCACGTGCACCTCGGAGCGTGCACCTCGGAACGTGCACCTCAACCGCCGCGGCTTTTGCGCGCGGGGCGCCAAGCCGCGCCACGCGCGCGGCCGGGGCTGCCGCGGTCACATATCGTCTGCGCGAGTGCGGGGGCAGCGCTCCTGCTGGCACCAGGCGGGCGGGCGTTGTCGCTCCTGCTCCCGCCCGGCAGTAATGGCCACGCGGGACACGTGGACACGCGGTGTCAGCCGGGTCGCCTTTTGATTGCGTGCCTTTTGATTGCGTGCCGTGTGAAGTTTCAGAGTACGCAAGTTTCACACCGAGGCCAGTTGCCGCGCCGCGATTGGCCACGGTGGCATCCGCGGCAGCCCAATCGCGCGCCACCGGCCTGCCCGTTGGAGGATATCGTTCAATCGTCAATGCTGAAAAAAAATCCCCCTGCAAACCCCGATCCTTACTTAAACCACAATTCCTACCCCTCACCGCCCCCCTCCCTCCCGTATCGCTCCCACTCACCATCCGTCTAACACAACCCTCCACTCCCCCCCCCACACACACCCCGATCCGACCCCGATTCGACCCCGATCCGATCCCGCTACCCCCAAACCCGCGCCCCGCACAATGACAGCACCGAAGGTCGGCATCAACGGCTTCGGCCGCATCGGCCGCCTCGTCCTGCGCGCCGCCATCGAGAAGGGAACGTGCCAGGTCGTCGCCATCAACGACCCGTTCATCGACCTCGACTACATGGCCTACATGCTCAAGTACGACTCGACGCACGGCCGCTACGCCGGTGACGTCTCCATCAAGGACGGCAAGCTGCAGGTCGACGGCAACTCCATCACCGTCTTTGCCCACCGCGACCCCGCCGAGATCCCGTGGGCCACGGCCGCCGCCGACTACATCGTCGAGGCCACCGGCGTCTTCACGCTCAAGGACAAGGCCGCCGCCCACTTCAAGGGCGGCGCCAAGAAGGTCGTCATCTCGGCCCCCTCCAAGGACGCCCCCATGTTTGTGTGTGGCGTCAACGAGGCCAAGTACACCCCGGACTTGGACATCATCTCCAACGCCTCGTGCACCACTAATTGCCTCGCCCCCCTCGTCAAGGTCATCCATGAGAAGTACGGCATCGAGGAGGGCCTCATGACCACCGTTCACGCCACCACCGCCACGCAGAAGACCGTCGACGGTCCCAGCAACAAGGACTGGCGCGGCGGCCGCGGCGCTGGCGCTAACATCATCCCGTCCAGCACCGGCGCCGCAAAGGCCGTCGGCAAGGTCATGCCCGAGCTCAACGGTAAGCTCACCGGCATGGCCTTCCGCGTCCCCACCCCCGACGTCTCCGTCGTCGATCTCACCGTCCGCCTCGCGTCCGAAACTACCTACGAGGACATCAAGGCCACCATGAAGGCCGCCGCCGACGACTCCATGAAGGGCATCATGAAGTACACCGAAGACGCCGTTGTCAGTACCGACTTTATCCATGACGACGCGTCGTGCATATTTGACGCCAGCGCGGGCATCATGCTTAACAGCAAGTTTTGCAAGCTCGTCGCATGGTACGACAATGAGTGGGGATATTCTAACCGCGTCGTTGACCTCATCGCACACATCTCCAAGGTCCAGTAACTTTTGTCCCTCCGCCCACTAAGCTGTTATTGCTAGCATGCAATTAAAAACCATTGTAGCGTGACATGGCCAAAAACAACGTGTTCTGTGCCGAATCGTCGCGTCTGCATTATCGCGAAATCCAATTCGTGCGAAATCCAATTCGTGAGGGGGACGACGACGACGGAGCGGCAGCGAATCATCTCTCAATACCGAAACCCCCTTGGGAGTTGGTTGCTTGCGCACAGTCTTGATGTGATTACATCATGGCCTCTGATTTGAGAGTGTGAGTGAATCGCGTGAGAGTTGTCGGGCGGGAAGGAAAGCCACCCGTGTTGCGATCTCCCAATGACACGAATCTCTCCAGATATGTGTGTGACCTGTGTACACGTGCACAGGTATGCGTGTTGTCATCGAAAGGGCGAAGAGGGCGTTTGTCCTCTTTTCTGTAATGACAAGCAGCATTGGATGATGACTCGCCCTTTGTAAACGTATGATAAGACGGAGCTATCAGATAGCAAGATTCTTCCCATTCTTCATACTGTACCCTTACAGTACAGTACGTACCCTACCTCTCGAGAGGTAGCTAGTGTCTATTGCACCAATGTCCCTCATACTTGCATGAGGTCACTTTTCATTTTTTTTTTCTTGACTTTCGCTTTCTCAACAACAAGGAGAAAGATGCCCTCGCTACCGTACTTTTGACTTGTGACGTGTGGAAGGAAAGAGACGAGGGAGAATTTCATGTTCGTTCTAGTCGTTTAGAAACGACTAGTTTCTATATAACAACTTCGAAAAACGGAACTGCGTACTCCATCTTCATTACATTCTAACATCTTTCTGTGTATTCAAAACTGCCATCCTGGTAATTCTGCAAGATGTTATGCCGCGGACAACTGCGTTAAGAAATTTAAGAAATTTCTTAACGCAGTCATCCAAAACGACTTTCTAAACTTGCTATTTGATTGACATCTCCTCTTTCAACAAAATATTGTTTTGTCATCAGTGTGCTGTGCAAAAGTCTCTTAAGTTGACACAACATCTGATAAATATGTAGGAATCATCCGTCACGGATAAGTGCTAGTGTCTAGATAACATTTGACTTCATATCGGTCAAATGACCGAGATGAGGTTACTTTTCCACATCCTTTTTCTAGGCTTGTGCCTTCTCGATAAGAAGAACAAAGATACCCACGCCACCACGCTTGAATTCTGCGTTACCGAAAGATGGATTGTAGTGAAAACTGTATATCCTTTCGGATTGTTTTTTAATGCCCGGCAAAGAAGCTTTAACGAGCAACCTTCAAACGTTTTGCAATGGTAACTTTGAAACCAACACGCCTGTTTCGAGGAGAATAACCGGGTATTTGAACTCCATTAGATTCTTAATCTTTCAGTGCGTTCAAAACTGCAATGCCGATCTTCTGCAAGATGCTGTGGCCGAGGGCATGTATGTTAGGTGTCCAATACGACTTTCCCCATTTGCGAGTCAGTAACACGAAATCACCTCTCTCTAAATATCAATCTGCTTAAGAACATCACCTTCAAAGTTGGCCGTAGTGGGGCATATCCAATGGACCAGGGTAGGCTTGGCCTGCCCTGTACGGACTGAGACCTTTTGTCGATTAAACGAACGAGAATGGCGACTTGGTCATGCAAGAAAACCGTAGACTATCTTCGTGCTATCCTGCAGCCAACACTGATCTCAACGACTCGCAACTTCATGTGCGCCACCTCAATGCAACCATTCCACGGCTCCTTTGAAACCACACCCCATTACTTCCAGCAATCTCAGGCCACCACACTAAGGAAGCCATTTCGCTATCGCCTTGCCAATCTCCGTTGGCGAGTCCTCCTGTAAGTAGTGAATCCCCTTTACTGCAGCCATTTCCGTATTCTTCCACTTCTTAACAACTGCCCTCATGCTTGGCGATATCAATCCTGGCTTTCCGTCAATGAACAATTTCGGCAACTCTGATCTCGCCAGCCATTTAGAATATTTCTTCACAATGGCTACGACTTCCGCAGGCTCCCCCTCAATGGGCACTTGTCTTGGCCATGTCAGCATAGGCCTCCTGTCCTCTCCCGCTTTCAGGAACGGCCTACGATATTCGTCAAACTCTGGCTTCGTCAAGTTGCGCAGAATCGCGCTAGGAATGAGGTCTTCCACAAATGCGTTGTCTTCGAGAACCAGCTGCTCACCGGCCGGGCTTCGCAGCACTCTGAAAAACGGTTCGATCTCCTCTGGAAAGTCGCCGTACCGTTCGAACGTTGACACAAAGCCTTCAAAGAACGCGATCCCCTTCACGGAATTAGGATTTTTACGATTCAGATACGCCCAGTGGAAGCCTAGTGCGGTGCCCCAATCATGAATTACAAACGTCACCCGCTCCTTCACGCCAATTATCTCAAAGAGCCGGTAAAGATAGTTGCTGTGTTCGAGGAAGGTGTACCTGTACTTGTTGCTGTTGTCGAGCTTGTCCGAGTCGCCCATGCCGATGAGGTCAGGGGCTATGAGGCGTCCGCGCCCTTCGAGATGCGGCATGACGTTGCGCCACAGGAAGGAAGAGGTTGGATTGCCGTGAAGGAAGACGATCGGGTCGCCTGTGCCAACTTCGACATATGCCATCTTCTTGCCGTCGATGTCGGCAAACTTTTTCTCAAGGAAACGCCTAGGGGGGAAGCCAGTGGGTCTGCCTGTGCCATTACAGATGGTTGCAGCGAGGAGGAGGGCTAAGACGAAGAGCTGCATGGGGGTAGACTTGGCAATCATGATAGAAAGAGGCTTCTGAAGGGTGTGGTGCTTTGTGGAGGTAGATGTGCTTCGAGATTGTGACCGAGTCGCTGCGAAAGAGTTTATATAGAGCAGTCGCAACCCAGAGACTTCAAGATTGAACACGGAGACCCGTTCTTGAAGACATAGAAGACGATGAATTTGCGTCAAATGGAGAGCTGTTAATGTACGTTTCTCTACAACGAGCGCAATTGTTGTATGTGTTTCTACAGTCTTCTTTCGCAGAGGGAAGCGAGGTGCTTCCATCTTTGAAAATCATGGGGTCGTGTGTTTTCAAGACATGCTTGATGTCTAGATTGGTCTAGATTAGAAAGTCAGCGTGGGCATAAAGCACGTGTTCGTTCGAAAACAGAAAGGGCACTCGAATAATGATATCAATCAACTGGTACATAAGACGGCGAATAGATATGAATTGTGAAAGATGGAGATGCATCCTGTTTCTGGAAGATGTGCAAGAGGCCTAAGGGTGCTTTTTAGAGCTGCAAAGGTGACCTCGCATGCAGAAATGGTCATTCCAGCGCTGCCAGTAAGAGACAGATATGATAGAAGGCTGTGATGAGGTGATTTCAAGTCGACAACTGTTTCGTCATTGATACCATTACAATCGGAGGGAACCATCGCTTGCGAATCTTGTTTTTACAGTATCCTTGGGTACAATTCTGCACAGCAGTGAAAGAGTTCTTAGTCCATGCTGACCAGAGTCCTTCTAGAAGACAGACTTTATGTCGGAGTGGGGGGATTTTGAAAATCAGATGAGGCCATTACGCGCCCTTCAATTGGTTCACGCCTAAGATCTTGAAGACGTTTGTAGAAAATCAATTCTGCTGGCAACTCTGTATCAGCTTCTGGAGGCCACACTCAAATAAGGGAAATGTATGATGTTGTACAGCTCGCATACTTCTTATCATTGTCTGACTCCTGCATTATGCTCATTTCAAAAATGGATAAGATCAGCCTTTATCGAAACGGTCTTCCTCCCTGGAAAAATCGAAGCATCGCCTGAGACTGTTGTTAAATCCAGGGGGGGAAGATACAAAAATATCTTCCAGTGTGTGTGACAATATCCAAAGGATGGTCGTCTCGCGCAGAAGCGCACGGGGTCTCGCGTACGAACGCGGTAGCAAATTCTTGCCAAAGAATATCGTGAATACTCACAGTTGGTGATTTATTACGTGCCCTTTCTTCTTCTTTTCCTCGCTCTACAAAGCGGTAGGGTACATACATTTGTCAGTAACGAGAACGCCGCATCTCTAAGAGTTGCGCTCGCTGTCTGCATTATTTTCTGTCAGCTCTCCGAAATGCTGTCTGCTTCTTCCACATTATCAGCAACGAGCTTCTACACGTGTTATCTGTGTCAACGTATCCCATCTCGCACACGTGTGTCCGTTGTGAGTACACACGAGTGTTGACGACTGACAAGCACATGTGTTTCTCTACAGAGACACGATGCAACAAGGGAACAACGATACGCGGCCAAGCCCTGGCTTGTTTTAAATATGAAAATTCTGCAGTTCTTCGCTGTAAAAGTAAAGTACTGCTGGTTGTCCATATCCGCACCATTTCCAACCATGCTGATTCAACGCAATTGACAGCATTAGTGGAGAATCTTTTTCGGAAGAGGATGGCCTTCTATGCGCTGGCACAGAAGTTCCGTTCCAATCCATCTATTTTCTATGCAGTTATGCTGTGTGCGCTGCAGAATGAGAGCGATATTGATGGCTTCTCAGATCGGGGATATCGTTTGGTGAATGTATCGCAAAGTAGCACTCCCACTCTGTCTCGGTCCCTCTATCTCTGTCTCTCTATCTCTCTCTGTCTGTCTCTCTCTGTCTGTCTCTGTGGTCAGCTCGTAAGTAGAAGTGTTGAGAGGTGGAAGTGCTCTGTCTTTTTTCTTACTAGCAATGAAGTGTGGCATCACTTATAGGGGATGTAGGGCGGTAGGTAAATTGGGACATGTAAAGAATAACAGGAACTAATAAGGGCTAAGGTTGACAAAGACTAAAGTCGACGGAGCTTGACTCAGAAGGATGCAGCAGGAATCACCGATCAATATATCATATTGATAGCAGTCCCCTCTTCAAGAGAGTCAAATGCCGGAATCCCTAGCAGCCTTGACCGAGTCCTGATCTGAATAATCCTGTAGAAAGTTCTCCAGAATCGCTGGGACGTCTTCCTGCACATTTGTGAATGGCTCCCATGTCGGTTCTTCGTAGTCAAAATCTTGCCATTTCACATTAACTTCACATACTTCAGACTGAGGATTGTATCGGAGTCCCAAAAGCTGTTCAACCTTATTCAGGTGCGCCTCATTGTGAACGATTGAATCTAAAAGCTGCTCTGAAACATTCAAATGAGAATGTGAATAGAGCTTCAATCGAGAGGCATGCACAACATGCTTCACATTCGTTAATAGGTTCTGGATCTCAAAAGTAGAATCAGAAGCAGCACGTGTTACGCGCCTGGGCCCTGTCCAATTAACGCGGAGATTCTCACCGCCTTCGGAAGCTCGCTTGGCTACAAGAACAAAATCCCAAACATCGAAATTGACCACTTGTACGCCAGTCTTTCGATTGTGAGACTTCACTGCTTGCTCACGCTTCCTCGTGCGTTTCTCGGACGCATCTTTGTGCATCGCGTCAACGGCGTTCATAAGGGAATCAATCTCCATCAAGCGCTGTGCCTTCACTAGTTCCAGGGAATGTGCGTGTTAGACAACTGGTGGTACTAAAGCGCTCAAGGGATTATCTGCTAGTCTTTCTGTCATTACTGTCACTGGAGCGCGATTGCCGGGAGATGGCCTGACAGAGTGGTTAAGCACATTTTGGACCATGTCAATGACCTCAGGCCACTCTGTGTCCTTTTGGCGAAATTCCGAGAGCATTGCTCTGCATCCACGAAGTACCTCTTTGCACACAGTTTCGACTGTCCCATTCCATTGAGAAGAATATGGAGTTGTGAAGTTGTGGTGAGAATGTAAGGCTCGATTAAGATCAGCCATACCTTATTCTTAAAATGAGATCCGCGGTCGGACACCCAGAAGAGGGAGACCCCAAAAAGAGAAAACCATTTTCTCAGAGCGCGCACAGTGTTTGTGGCGTCTGCGGCGTCGCTTTCTTCTAGAAGCACGAAGGATGATGCATCGTCATTGATGATGAGGACATACACAGGTCCAGAGTTGCTCTCCCCGAGGTACAAATAATCGAAATGAATCAACTCATTCGGAGTAGTGGAATGCATAGCATGTGAAAGTGGCCTGGGAATACGTTGGCCGCCAATAGTTACAAGGCAGTGCATACAAGTGTTGCAAAATGCTGTGATATCCGTCTTCGTCTTTTTCCAGCGAAAGTGTACTTTGATGTTTTCATATGTGGTGTCCACGCCTCGATGTCCGCTTCGCGCACAATGTCCAATGATGCAAATGCGTAGCTGAAGTTCCTTAGAACGAGATGGGATCCATACAGCATTTCTGTTGGTTCGATAAAGACCGTTCTTGATAGTCGACGGTGTTTCCCCCCATTCAGAAATGCCTTTCTGCTGCTCGCGTTTGATGTCTGCTAGCTTTGGCCACGTGAAATCCGGGTCGAGGTCAGGTGCAATTGGTGCGTGAAAAAGAGCGCCAAGTGTCCCATGAATGATACCACCAATTCAGCCGCCCCATCGAGATAAAAGACCCGCCCAGCAGTTGTCATCTCCGGATATATGGTTGATCGTATACCGGAAAGCGGAAAGTTGCATGGCCCATCGCTCGATTGTGTTGACTGTGTGCTTCGCTATTCGAGGGTTAACAATAACAGGGTGGAATACGAAAGTCAAGTTCTTATGGTCTGTGAATAAAATGAAGCCCTCTGGACGCAACAGCATGTAGTCGAGTCGAGTCACGGATGTCACGATGGCAAAAGCTTCTTTCTCAAGAGTGGACCAATGGAATGAGGACTTCTTGAGGGACCCGGAAAGAAATGACAGTGGTTCATGGTGCTGGTTTTCGAAGTCCTCATCCAAATGGATTTTTGGAATTTGCGTTATTGTCCCAGCCCAGTGTGTTTCGGAGGCATCCATGAAGAGGCAAAGAATTTTCTCTGGGTCTGGATGAGCGAGTATTACGGCGTTTCGAAGTGCCTCTTTAACCACCGTAAATGTCTGATCGTGATCTGAATTCCAGAATGTAGAATCAAGTGCTATTTTCGATGCCGCACGCTTTGTCCGTCCACCAACTTTGGTGTATACTTGTTCGAGGACCTGCGACAAGGGTTCAATGATCCTGGAAAATTCGGGAATGGTGACGCGCATCCAATTTGCCGCGCATACAAATTGTTTTAAATCACCACCAGGTTTGGGTCGAGGCATATTCACGATAGCCTCTAACCGTTTCGGGTCGAGTTTGATTCCATCAGCGCTTATTGTACGTCCGCACCACGTGACCTCACGCAGAAAAAGTTTGCACTTGGCTGCATGAAGGTTCAGGTTTCCCTTCCTACAAATTTCGAAAAAGACTCGGAGGGTGTCCAGCAGGTCTCTGCAATTTTTGTGGTGAAGGAGAAGGTCGTCCAGCCATTGGAGAATGTTCTCCCGTAACGATAGACATAGGTTTCCTACTGTACTCTGAAAGTAGGAAGTTGCATTCGTCTGTCCATGCATTACTCGCGTGGGTGTGAAGACGCCGTCGGGCGTAATAAAACTCTGGCATTCTTGCAATTCTGAGTCCAGCGGCATCTGCCAGTAGCCATGACATAAATCGATGATGGAAAAGCAGCAATCTCCTGCCAATTCGGAGGTTATCGACTCGAGATCAGGCATCGGCCAGGTGTGCGGAATTGTTTGACTGTTCACTTGTCGCAGGTCAACCGTGAATCTGAATTTCTCCGGTCCATCCTTTGGTACAATTAGCCGTGCGCATGCCCATTCACTTGAATTGTTTCGTCGCACAAGCCCGAGAGACAGTAATTCGTCTACTTTCTTACGAAGAAATTTGGCTTGCGGTG